TCTGTCTCTCTCTCTCTCTCTGTGTAGAGAGGGGTATATATATATATATATGTGAATATATATATATAATATGCACTTGTACGCACACACACACACATACATATTATATATACAAAAAGAAAGAGAAGCGGGAAAAGAGCCATCATCTTTCTTGTGGTTCTTGCGAAGCCTCCGCCAAAGGCCCTGTGTGCCTGGTGTTTCCTGGCCTTGGCCTGCGGCCTCTCTGTGGAGCAGAGGCGATCTCGGCTAAGAGCCTTAGAATAATTACTACTAGATGGCAGGGTTTTGATAAGTTGTCCATGGCTTTGGATGGCTTTGGCACCCCAAGCAACATGCAGTTGATTCATGTAGGGTCGATGTGTAGGCAGTGCCGTGCCTCGGCTGTAGCCTGTAGGCCGGCCGAGCCGGAGGCTAGGCATCCCCAAACAGTGTGTTTGGAGCATTGATGTGGCTGGGAGCTGTCGGAGTGTGCGTGAAGCTCAAGAGGCACTCTGTTCTCGCAGCCTCAGAACGACTACGGAAATGAGTCCTTTCGCACAAGGGGAAGGAACATTGCTCGAGTAAAACACGATCTCCAAGCAGATCGTTGAGAGGTTGGCCTTTGCTTGTAAGCTTGCCATATCTTCGGACAGCTGTTGTGCAGTGATACTAAAGTGTGCGGAAACTCAGTCGAGACGCAGTCCGCAGCATCCCGCTAGACAAGATCAGAGTCGCGGCTACGTGCCCAATGCAGCTGGCCGTTTTTGCTGCGCTTCGACAGGTCGAGCGTTGATGCTTCCAGCTTCCTTGCGGCGCAGGCGCGCGGAACCCGAAGCTCACTTCCTGTAGCCGCCAGAAAGCGTCCGTTTTCAATATCCTGGCCACATTCGCAAGATGCTCGGGCTCAAGGTTCGGTTGGGCATGAAACGAGACCAGCCTTCTTCACTGTAAAACATGGATGAAACGATGGTCGCAACCAAGCAGGCGTCGGCACAAGCCGAGACGTCCTAGCAAAGCATGGGACTGCAGCAAACTGTTGGGTTCTTCGTCGCATCATGACTGAAATCCCGGCCGTGAGATGCATCAGGATGAAAGTAGTGTAGATCTCGAATGCATGCACTGCATTCACCTTCACCATCGAACTCCACTGTAGGGAGCAGCATGGCAGGTAGGAAATTGCAAGCAAGAGTGAGCCCACGTTTCCGAAGCTGCCAAGTCTCAGGCAACCATGGCAGACAACTCAAATAACCTAGAGAACCCATGGGATTCCCGTGGGGTGGGCTCTTCAACCACTCATCCATCAGTCGGTCCACGGTTCTGCACCACGACTCATGAGTGCGGAGAATCCCTGCACCACCAAGTGGACCGGACATGGCTTACATTGTAATCCATGTCCGGTCCACTGACCTGGGGCCAGCGCACCTTTGGACACCCAGGGGAGCTGCTTCGGCGCCACGCCTCGTGAATGTACGGTGCCATTGTCCTGGTCAAGACATGCATCTAATTGATGACCGAGCTGCCCTGGTCCTGCAAAAATCGGAGAGAAGCCCAAACATGGCAGATTGCGACTTTTGTTTCGTCGCTGTGCTCGTTCTTCGCGGTTCGACTGCAGACCTTTGGGTGGCTAAGGGTTTGTCGGTCACAGGTCGATGGCAGTACAGGAAAGGTCGGCGCTTCCTTGCTGGAGGCACAGAGTGTCCGGTGAAGTGTGGCGCTCGAGGGTACTGTGCTTTATACTGTCGGAGGTTTCGGATGGATCCATGCAAGGGCGCCAGGCCGGGGAACGATCTTGCAGCGCTGCAAGGCTGCGACGTGGCACCTTGCGCAAAACATTGCGCCAGGAACGTGTGGAAACCCTCCTCAGTGCCGAGCAGTCGGCCTTGCTGTCACAGGAGCAGGCGCTTGGACATCGTAGGGCAGTCTTGGAAGAGGAGGGAGAAACTGTGGTTTTACAGGCTCTCGAGCAGATTGCTGCACGGGCCACGGCTTTTTTGGGACCTATTAGGCGAGGAGCATCAAGGAGGCCTCTCTTTCTGAGGCCCAGCAGGCCTCCCTCGCTCAGCAGCAGCAAGAGCTCAAGGAGCGCGAAGCAGAGGCTGTGTTTTTGATGCTGCTCCTCTGCTCTGTTCTGTGAAGGCTCTTCGATTCATGCGCAGGTGGAGCGGGAGATCTCCAAGAAAGTCACCGGATTGGGCACTTCTCTTGCTCAGGTGCCCTTTCGCGCATGTGGCCGTCCACACAGCGGCTGTTGGAAAAGACGAAAGATGAGTTGCTTCGGGTGCAGCAGGTGTCCGAAACGTCGCCTGGGGCTGATGCCGCACAGATTGTGGGGTACGGCTGGTGACTGTCGCTCGCCGTTGTCCCCCGCAGAACTTAACTCTGCTTCTGAGGTCGTCGAGCTCCGGCTTGCAGGCGAGTTCTGGGATGTTCTGGGTCACTTCCCCCATGCTCTACGATGCTGATCGCCAGAGTGCTAGGTTGGCTTGCAGACGGTCAAGCACATTGTCCAGAAGGCATGGTTTTTGAAGCAACATGTTTGCCCATCTGCGACCGCGAGCTACACAATGTCGAGTCATCCTTCTGCTGTTCCCGAAGCAATGAGCATAGAGCAGAGGACCAGAAACGCATAGAGATCGCAATCGACTCTACCCAGAACTTCGACAACAATACCAGCTTCGACTTAAGCCAAGTTATCTTTAGTCAGTGCTGTACCGCATAAAGTCGCCACCGAGCATGGGCTGTGGCGCTTCCGCTGGACCGCCGGTTCCACAGTCTCCTTCTGCTAGATACAAGGAAGAGAAGGAGGAGGAGCCGCCGATCTTAGCCGACTTGAGCTAAAACCAAACCCCTAAATTCTCAGCCCCTAAACCCTAAACCCTAAGTTCGAAACCCTAAACCCCTAAACCCAAACAGCGGACCGCTTCCGCCTCCGCTTCCGCTTGGCCAGGATGTCTTCTCTGGGAAGGGGCCGAAGGCCGGGCTGTCGGCTGCGGTCGGGGGATTTTTTTGAGTAGACGTAGAGAGAGCGGATGAGAAGAGGGAGGAGGGAACTCCTGTGCTGTGAGCGACCCGTGTTTTTGAGAGGCCAAGGCAAAGCGGAGTCTTGGCTTTAGCTTTTGCTTTTCCTTCCACCGATCGTCTGATGGTTCCGCGGTGCCTAAGCATTTGTTACGCGAGTCCGCTGCTGTTGTCCCAGCCGGTAGTGTGTGGCATGAGCGATTGCCATCCGTAGTCAAGTCACAACAGCTGATGCAGTTTGCGAAGCATGCCTCACAACAAGGGTCGGGCACGCGATGTCGTTCCGCATCGAGAGCATCGTACCTCCAAGAAAGCTGGACCCAACAAGCCGGAGTCGCCAGCACTTTCCTATGCTCTGTCACGAGCCGTGATTGCTTTTGACTTGGACAGCTTTGCTGGCGTCACTCCTTTTCCCAATGAGTTGTGGTCAAGAGTGGCGTCACATCTGAGCTTCATTGAGTTGTGTAATTGCGAGATGACGGCCAAATGTGTTTGGAGTAGCTTGGCCAAGGAGATGTGCCAGTGGCAACTGCTCTGTGCACTGCATTTTCCTGCAATGGCCCAGTCTGTCCTGCAGAATCCAGTGAAGTGCTCTTTCCTCCTATCGCCTTCTCTTCGGAGACCAGAGGAGGAAACTCAGTTGGCCAGCATTGACTGGAAGATGCTGTTCGCGCGACGATGGCAGAAGCAACTTCGCTGGGAGGGCCGCGGTGCTCGGGCGAGCCAAGACCGCATCTCTCGCTGTGCAGCCTGTGGGGAGACCCTCCGCGACGAACGAGCCGCAGACGAGTGCGCTGTTCACTCCGGCGACTTTTTGCCGCTGAATACGGCGACCTGGAACCGCGCGGAGCTGCAGCAACTGCAAATGTACGCTCATGCAGCATGGCGGAGTATTGGGGGCACCGCTGCCATTCGGCGGAGTGCAAGGATGTATCGAGGCGGCGGGCATTGGGCCAAAGGATTGAGCTTCAAGGGCTGGGGCTCTCAAGGCCACTGGGCGGAAGGATTGGGTACACGCCCTGGCTCTTTGAATCTGCGTGCATGCATTGTGGGTCACGTGCCTTGCGCGTGGTCCTGCTGTGGTTCTGACGAGTTGATCAGTGAGGGCTGTCACATTGCTCACCACCGACCTAGATAATGGCGGAGACACAGGCAGCGTACCAGTGTACAAACCTCTATCTCTCGCCATCAGGTAGAGAAGGCCGCAGTGCTCTTAGTTGCCGGACCAAAGTGTCAAGCCAGGCAGCGTCGCAGCGTGCCCCTGCAGGCTGTGGAACCGGATGCGGCCAGCGCAAGAGGGGGTAAGGCGGAAACGCAATTGCACAGACAGGCAGACCCTGAACCAAAAGGTAAGCTCCCAGTATCTCACAGTTCTTCGGCGGCTTCGACCAGCTTGCCTTGTCACCTCAAGACAAACCTTCATCTCCCTGATCCTGCTGGTGGTAGAGTCTGGTAGTGTCTTGTTTTGGCAGTAAGTCTTGGCCGAGGAAATCTCAAAAGAAGAAAGCTGCAGAGGCAAAGGACATTGAGTGGCACAACAAGAACTGCCAGGATGTGCAGTTCGAGTCTTGGTTGCACTATCCAGGAGGCCGAGCCTAGCTCAAGACACTCTCAGATGCTGCGGAGGAGAAAGTCAAGACCGTCAGAGAAGCCTATCCGTTCCTTGCAGAACATCTGAGGGATGTCAAGTCCTCACAATTCACGCCTCAGTCTCTGCAGTGCGAGGTTTGATGAACGGAAAAGGAAGACCGTCCACAAGAGAGAGAATGTGCCACGGCAAGCGCGAGTTTGCGCAATTTGCTGTAGCAGAGATGCGGATCGAACTTCGGGGTCCACAAAAGCAGAACAACGATGGGGATGGGCAGTGCGTGCAAGTTGTGTGATATGTGCTTTGTTCCACCCGGATGGTCTGAACAAGCTGGAACACACTAGGTTAGATCTGGTGGCATTGATGACGTCCTAAAAGCGGACAACTGGGGTAGCGTGGAGATCTCGGACATAGGCACCGGGGTGACTTCGGGCACTGTGCCTCGTGACTACGTCGTGACTACGTGTATTGCGGTGATTGTCTTGCAGGGCCATTGCGGCTGCTGTGCAACTCGGCCCTGCCTCTGCAAGCCTCAGGGTGGTCGAGAAGCTGTGATGGTAGTGGTTTCCCATGTCGCTCACAGGGAGAGATCATGGCAGACTAGGTGACATGTGTGGTGTGCTCCTCGTGGACATCTACACGAACCCCGAGGACAGCATGTGTTCTTGTAGGGGTCTCATACAGATTGGCAGCTTCGTCTTGTCGCCGCGAAGAACCCTTTCTACGTGTGCCGCAACTGTCAAAGACATGACCGGAAACTGGAGCTGAAGCTTGATTGAACGTTGGCCTAGCAACAAGCGAGTTTGAGTTCTTGAAGACAGCCGCCACGTTTTGTTTACCGTGCAACTCTTTGCGTAGAGCGATGGGATGCCGAGGTGTGTTCGGTGTTTCACGACGAAAGCGCATCATCAGGCAGCGGCAGAGTTGGCTCTTGTGATGGCCTGCGGAGCGCCAGCCGTAGCTAAGAGAGAGATGTTGTCAGGAAGTCGAGCCCAGCCCAAAGGCGAAGGCCAAAGGACTGGGAAGGCCGGTTCAGATGCCGAGACGGTACACTTGGTGACATCTTGCATCATCTTGCCCTGAGCTGCAGTGTAGCTGAAAACGGCCAGGAGTAGCACCCACGGCGGCGGCGGCAAGTCGGCCCCTTTGGGCAGAGCTGGGACGCTTTCCATGGGCAGCTTGTCTTGCACGGGCTTCAGCAGCCAGAGACCATCAACAAAAGAGTTTTTTTGAGATTCTTGTTGACACTTGTTGCAGCGCGTTTTGAAAAGGGTTCCGACGTCGGAAAGCAGCCTGACAGGTTCGGACTATTCCTCAGGCAGCTCAGCTGAGAATGGGTCGCAGAAGTCCCCTTGAAATGGCATGTCTCGCTACATGCCATGGGGTGGGATTTAGGGCTTCGGATTTCGGGTTGAGGCTCTTGTGGTTTTCGGGCTCAGGGTCTAGGAGCCAGGCTCCCAATGCAAGAGCATGCAGGATCTTAGGATTTTGTCGGTAAGCTTGCGGACAGCTAGACTGCCAAAATTACCTGTAGACATAGCAGCTACCCACAGAGTGCAGGCAGTCGGGGCTGCTGAGGAAACATTTGCCTCACTAAGCAGTTCATCATGCTGAGAAGCCCGAAATGGGCCTTCCACACATGTTGTGAACCCTGAAGCACCCACCCGCCACTACCCGAATTCATCACATGAGAGATTTGGAAAATAATACGGGGACCCAACTAATTATAAACTCCCAAAAATCAAATCCCCTTATAAACCAAGACCTGCAAACCCTTGCAAAAACCTGATAAGACCCCGACAAGGGTGGACAAAGCTTGCTCGTATTGCCAGGCTCCATAGCAACCCAGAGACTCCGGCAGTGGACGCATGTATTCAGGTAGATACACCCTGTTCAGTTCTTCAGTGCACGAGTCCAGTTTTCTTGCCTAGCTGTGCCACTAAGAAGCCGCGGCCTCGTCCTCTCTGGATGATGCTCTGAAGAGCTTGCCGAGCGGCAGCTGGGAAGGTCCTCAGCTGCGTTTGCTTTGATACTATATACTATATATACTATATATACTATATATACTATATGTACTATATGTACTATATACTATGTATATATAGCTTTCCGAGTCAAGTGCCTCCAGGTCAACTCTCCGAAGAAGGTGGGCGCAGACACGTCGAGTGCCCCAGTGCAAGCTCCTGCGGTGCCCGGGGTCTCGGAAATGCCTCAGTGCTCCATTCAGGTACCAGCTTCGCTTTATGAAGACCGGCGTCGTCGTGGGCAAGGGCCCGAATGGTTGCCAAGTGGAAGGGAAATTCTTCTGGAACAGCAAGACCTACAAGCCCAGCAGCTCAGCTGAACGACTCGGTTTACACCGACGCCCGGTGCCAACATTTGTGGAATTGTAGCAAGTGCATGCACAGAGGGACGCCACACTGCTACACAAAGCTCTCCACCGACCGAGCGCTTAGGTGTGGAATGGACAGTCACTTGCTAGCAATGATCTCCAGATCTGTTGCAGGCTTGCAGCCATTTTCATATGACGCCATGTAGATCGTTCTTCTTCGAAGGAAACCCATGACTGGGGAACATTGAGCTTTTGTGCCACTTGTCTGCACCTGGTGCTGAGAGACCAGGAACTCAACAGTCAGACCCACGTGAACTGCTCCTGCTACCAGCTTTGCAGCCTAAAGCCAAGACTTTGTGCTGGGGTAGGCATGCGACAACATGGCCACGGGTTCCGGATTCAGTGTATTCGCCAGGTTACACTGAAAGCCGGTAAATTCGCTGTTTCGACAGAGCTCCCCTGCGAGGCTGATGTCGACCCCGCTTCGAAGCAGCTTGATGGCAACTTTAAAGTGTCCGATGGCGGCCATGGTACTGCTTTGTTGAAGTACGTGCCGGACGATACCTCTTGAAGTGACGGCCGGTGCCACCGCAACGCCATGCTGTGCCGTAGTGGAGGCTCTATCCCCGAGCATGTTTATGTGGGTAGCAGTTTTGACTATGGTAGGGTTTGGGGTCCACCATTGAGATTGATTGATGGACGCAGCATATCTGGGACACAGGATGGACCCAGAAGTTGTCTTTTCAATTTAAACGTGTTGTGCTGGGACGCTCCCAGAAACACTGCTTGGTGCTCCACAGAAAGCATTCTCACTAGTATCGAGAAAGATCGAAGCACGTTGTCTGACGCAAGTGGGGCACTCCCCGTGTATGTCTTGCATGGCCGCCCAGAAATACTGGACTGGGTCTGATGTGCAATCTTGTGCAATAGAGGAAAGCCACGGAGTGCCTTTGAAGGCGATTGCTGCAGCTGTCCGAGACACTGCAAGTGAAGCCTCGTGACTAACTCCCCAAGGTAGTCGCGTCACTGGTTTGGGAAGAGTTCAGTCCAGCGTTCCCCGATCTGCCTTGCTGCAATCAAAAGGGATTCTGAAATGCTTCAAGCGGCTGGTCCAGCCCCTGCCTGGCAGACCTGGAAAGAGCAGCTGATCTCGGCAGCCGTCTACATGGCCATAATTTGTGCCGTCCACGACCTCAGCTTCTGGGCCTCTAAGTACGTGGTGTGCCTATTGGTCTGGATGCCACGCAGGCAGGTTGGCTGTACGGCCAGTTCTGCACGTACGAGTATGCAAGCCTTCGGCAGGACAGGTCCAGTGATTTGTTTTGGAGATGATGCGGCAAGTCCGCAAGCACGAGGTACTAATAGGTACGAGTAAGTGTTTGCTAGATGTAGTTGCGAAGCAGACTTCGAGGCCAGAGAGTGCAGTCTCCGATCGCAACACTTGTCATGTGGAAGCCAGGGAGCCCTAATTGTGTCATGCAGCCATTGTGCTGAGCTTCCGGTTGCAGCGCAGTAGCAGCTCAGTAGCATGGACATGCGCAATTGGCAGGAGCCGAAAATCTCTCGAGATTCTTTCAGCTTCGGTCCGGAACCCGATCGGAAGCAGGTCAAGTGCTCGAGGTAGCTTCGTTACTGCTCTTCGGACGAAGGTCTGTGCGACGGATGCAGATGCGATCCGGACCACCGAATCTGCCTCTGGGCCTGCTGCTTCCTCCCGCGCGGCGGCCCAGATGAAACGAGCATCTGCGCGCCAGCCTTTCCAGCCCGGCTGCCGCGGCTAGCCGTGGCAGGATTCGATGGGCGGACACGGCCAGCTCGCCGAAGGTCAACTTCATGAGGTACTGGCCAGGCTGACCGGAGTTCTTGTTGGGGCGCCCATTTGAAGAGAGCTGAAAGGGTGGGCTTGCCTGGAAAATACCACGGGACCGCTGAGACAGAATCTCTCAGCACACGCGGAGATGCTGCAGTCTTGCATATTCGTCGCTTGCTTCGAGTAAACGCTGCAATTGGAACAGGGGGTGTAACGGGAAATTTGTTTCAGGAACTTGCTCGAAACCGTTTCCCAGACAAGCCTCACCCGTTTAGTTCAGGTTGAGCAAAACTCAAGTGCGGGCCAGCAGGTATCTTGACAATGACTTTGTTGTTCAGCCTGATTAACCTTTCGTGCAGGACTCAGAGCATGTGAAAGGTTCAAAATCGAGCATCTTCACTTCAGCAAGCGCTTGCCGGGTGAGGTACGGAGTTACGGCGCTGCTGGCCCTCCTGCTGATGGTGCTGAATCGTCAGAGAATCCGGAGTGCTTACAACTTGCCACACCGGACGTTCCCGCCTCAGCTCCCGGAAGTGCAGAAGTTCGGATTGTCAAGAGAAGTCTGGAGATGCCTGTAACCGATGGTGACCGGTGACTCCTGTAAAGCCCTCGAAAGGTGCTCCACCTGCTCTATGGATTTCTTGACTTGGCACGAGCCTCCGTGGACGCGAAGAGCAAGCTCTGGAAATTTCTCAGCTTCCAGCATCGCAAAACGAGGTTCTTCTGTCCGCCATGCGTGCACGTCTCAGTCAGAGACGGCCCTGATGCGAGGTTTTCTGGTTGCGCTCGGACTGAGGCAGCCATGCAGGAGGCAATGCAGGTGGAATTCATCGACAGCGCCATGGACGCCACTGCACCTTGGCTATCGTAGCGGGCTTGGGATGGCAACGGCGAGTTGTGCGATAGATTCAGGTCCCAAACATGATGCAGATGGGCCCGTGTTATGCTCAGCCCTTCTGTCTTGTCCTATCACACGATGAACAGCGCTTTCCTGACGGCCCCGGCCACAGGTGCAGAATGCAATTATGAAGCCTGAGCAGCTGGCTGGACAATGACATCCGAGCGGCAGCCCTGTGTCCATGCCAGGCCAGCTTGCCGCAGGACAGCGGAGGCAACAGAGCTCATGCTGCTGATGCGGCGGACAAAGCTGCTTCCAGAGACCAGTGCCAGCTGCGGTCAAAAAAGTAGTCAAGAGCTCGGGCTGCACAGAAATACGTTTCATTCCCATGAAGCTGGGATAGGAAAATTGTCGTACAACCGTAGTGGAGTCATGGGATGTCATGGGCCTCTGGCTTTTCAGAAGAACATTGACATCACCACGCATGGCTGCATGACAGCAACAGTATGTGGCAGTGTTGTATTTCCTTTAATAGTACGAAAAAATCACGTATAATTTCTGTGCGAGATGATTTTGTAGCCATTTGAGAATTGAGCAGGAGGTTCAACCGAAGCGGGCATCAATTCACCTCAGCAGTAGAGAACGGGTTAAAACCCTCGTCGAGCTTCTGTGGTCGTTTAACCATAGGCTAAGAGTACTAGTACAAGACCTAGTGCACTACTGTACTAGTGGACTAGAGTACTAGAGTGCAAGTACCAGTAGCAGCAGCAGTAGCAGTAGTAGTAGTAGCAGTAGCAGTAGCATAGTCGCAGTAGCAGTAGCATTAGCAGTAGCAGTAGGAGTAGGAGTAGGAGTAGGAGGAGGAGTAGTAGTAGTAGTAGTAGCAGCAGTAGCAGCAGCAGCAGCAGCAGCAGTAGTAGTACTAGTGGT